AAGTATTAGATATTTAATAATTTAACATTTATAGCTTAATAAAGTGACATCTTTAGTGTATCTCCAAAAAGACTATCTATGCACTAAAGGGGGAAAAAAATTGACATACCAACTTTATTATTAAAATCTTGCAAAGGCAATTTAATAGTATGTGTTACTATTACTGACTGTATGTGTTATTTTTGAACCTCAAAAATATACACCTTTTTCTTGGCTTTATCAAATGATAATCCTTTAGCACTTAGAGCAGAAATCTTGCTCTCAATGTCTGAGACCTGATAAATAAATCATTAAATAAATAAATAAACACACATACAGACAGACAGACAGATAAATAGATAAATAGATAGATATAAGCTCACCTCACTTTCTGTGCTCTGAACCTTAGCAGCTGCCAAAGCAACCTGGTCCTCCAGTTCAGAGAGCTCTGAATCAGTTAACGGGCCGCTGTAGTGATTCTTAGCATTCTGCTCAATCATTTGCAACTTTTTTGCCATTTCGAAGGACTTCCCTGCAGTCATGTACACCTGCAGTAAAAAGGAAAAAGAAAATACAGAGTTCTGAACAAATAGCTTATAAACTTTAGTGATATAAAACCGCTTGGTTATGCCATTGATATTCCAAGTGTCTAATCTCCCTCCTTTAAACAAATAAAATAGTATCTATTAGAGGGATAAGCTTACATTTTCCTCAAGTTCCCTGAAAGCATCATCAGCCTGCTTAAGATCTGTGCCCGCTAACTGAGGTCTGTCATTAGGATTTGAGGGGGCCAACTCGTTCATAGCATTTTCAGTGGCATTAATTGTTCTTAGAATCTCTGTTGTGATGTCGCATAGGGCCGCCGCGGTGGATCTCTGAAAGCAATTAACTTTATTAATTAAGCAATTAACGAGAGGAAAGAAGCCTCATTAGCATTAAAACCCTAAAAATGACTGTAGTCAGGTATTATGTTGCTAAGGTTATAGCTAAATGAGGCATAAGTGCTGCTAATGCTTCATGGTCTTTAGATAAGACACTGATTAGTTATGAAAATAACCCAGGGGAACTACAAACTTTTTTCAGCTGTTTCTTTGCCTATGCTTATAAAGATGCTAGTGTTAAAACTAAGCTTTTTAGGATTATTAATAAAGTATTTGTGCTCTGGCATTCTATAATATGAGAAACTTGTAATATGTTGCGTGACTTTTAAAACCCACTTGTATTCCACTATAGTCTGATAATGAGATACCTGAATCTGCATAAATTGTTCTACAAATAAAACATTATTAAAAGATATTTTATCAGGAAAGCCTTACCTTGGACAAAGACAGCATTGTTTGGCTTCTGTGGATGTTTGTGTTGTCTGAGTTCTCACCTTTTGTGCTTCAGTGGGAATTTCATCACTGGAGGAGCTCAAGGGTTCTTGGGATGTAGGGGCCATTGGTGCATGGTCCCCCCTCACAGCGGACCCTTTGGAATGAGGAGGTCTTTTCGGCTCATCCTCGTCAGAGGACAGCGCCTTGTCACTCATCAGCTCATCTAGTTTTCTCCTCAGCTTCTCGCAAGAGGCCCTGAGACGGGCGACCCAGAAATTGAGGGAGTTGCTCTTCGGGAGATGGTGAACGCACCACTCCCTCCCCCAGAGGAGGGCCGGGTGGAGAATATTTTGTTTCGTTTTGTTTTTGTTCTGCCGCTGGCCAAGCAGCCAGCTGTACCCAAAACCTCAATAAAAGTGCGGTTTCCTCAGTCTCGGTCTCAAGAGGAAGAGAGTTGTGAACTGTACATCACAGGGTCACTTCCCTCCTCCTCTTTCGCCAGCGGGCAGCAGTGGGTTGCCCAAGAGCACCCCTCCTGCCCATTCGTGGAACCAGGTAAGGGCTGTAGCATTTGAGTCCTCGCTTCATGTCATCACACGCCGGGCTGTCACAAGCCTCAAGCCAGGACCCTGTGTTTTCTCCCGCACAGGGAGGAATCAGGTTAGTGTTACACTTCACACCCAGACTCCGCCCCATCTCGGTGGCTCCTGCGGACCATCAGACTCGGCTACGCGATTCAGTTTGCCCGGCGTCCCCCCAAGTTCAGGGGCATCCGGTTCTTGCGTGCGGAAATCGCAGTCCTGCTGGCGAAGGACGCGATAGAGCCAGTCCATCCAGCCGATATGAGGTTGGGGTTTTACAGCCCTTACTTCATTGTGTCCAAGAAAATTCAACTATCTCGACGACTGGCTCATACTCGCACAGTCTCACGATCAGTTGTGTGCACAGAGGGACCTGGTGCTCAGACACCTCAGCCAGTTGGGTCTTCGGGTCAACTGGGAAAAGAGAAAACTCGTGCCAACACAGAGGATCTCTTTTCTCAGCATGGAGTTGGATTCGGTCAGCCAGACAGCACGCCTCACCCAGGAACGTGCTCAGTCGTTGCTGAACTGCCTCAAGACTTTATTAGGGATGCTCCGATCCGCCTTTTTCGCCTCCGATACCGATATACAACATTAAACTCCGGCAAGAAGATAAAGTTCTTTTTGCAAAATCATGTATTTACAAATCAAGTATAATGGGAACACAGTATGATCTTGGAGAGAGCTTTACCGAGCTGACTGCTGTAACCGAACG